CAGCCTATTGGGCCAGTTCGCGATCGAGCACGCTTTGATAGAAGTCCAGGGCAGCCTGAGGATCTTCCAGGCCGGCGGCCGTTGCGCGTTCGATCCAAGCATCGACTTCGCTGTCCATGACCTCCTGGAACGCGGCCAGGCCGTCGCCCTCTGCCACTGTTGTCGGAATATCGGCAAAGACATCTTCAACGGCTATCTCTCCGGCATCATTTGCTTGCCCCGCGCGGCGGGGAAGGCCTTCTGCCGCGCGTTCGACAGCAGCCTGTTGCTCGGGGGTCAGGTTGTTCCAGGCTTCTTCCGAAATGATCGTGGCAAACGAGATCGTTCCCAGACCGCCGGGAATTTCGGTGACGTGCGAGACATAAGGGCGAATGCCGGCGCCGTCCGCCGAGCCGGGTGTAATGAATATGGCGTCCAGATTGCCACGAGCGACGTTGTCCTGAAGTTCGGGGTAGGGCGTATCCATGGGCACAGCGCCGAACCCCTCGGCAGCGGCTACAAGCGGCGTCGAGGTTGCCCATACGCGCATTCCCTGCAGGTCGGCAGGTTCGTCCGGAGCCAGGTTTTGATTGACCGACAGAATTTGGCGGCCAGGCAGGACATGGGTCGAAAGGACCCTAACCCCCTGCCACTCGCCGACATCTTCAAAATGTTCCTTATAAGTTTCCCAAAGGGCAACCGAGCCCGCTTCGGCCGTGGGTGCATTATAGGGCAGTTCCCCGATACCGTTGAGAACCACGAACTGGGTAATGCCCGAAATATTCATGACCGCCATATCCGCGATGCCATCTCGGACGGCTTCGTATTGACGGTCTGCCGGAGCAAGTTCGGAATCCGGAATGGTCACGAGAATGTCGCCCTGGGACTCCTCGATTATCGACTGAGCGAAGTCGCGGATGCCGACCTGATAGGTTTCGTTGAATGGCGGCAGCGTGTTGTTGAAGATCAGTTCTACTGACTGCGCCATGGCACCGGTCGCCGAAAGGGCAATGGTGCTGGTGCCGACAGTCAGTGCCGAGACCAATGCGGTGAGTTTGTGCATAATCTCTCCTCCCTGAGAAAAATGACGCCTCTGAAGCAAATCCCCGTGCCCGGCGCCTAAGCTGGCATGGGAATATCTGATGAACCTTGAAGTTTTGCGTATCCGGCAACGCAGGCCGGCGTCTCACTCATGCGCCGGTACCAGCGCTCAACCGCTGGGTAGGTCTTGAGATCGATCTCCTGCCAGGCAAAGCGGACGAGCCACGGCCACAATGCAATGTCAGCGATCGAAGCAGTTTCTCCGGCCAGGAATGCCGCTTCGGCCAGTCGCCCTTCGAGCGCCCCGTAATATCGATGCACCTCTGCTGCCGAACGCTCCTCGGCATAGGGCGCCTTGCCCTTCTGGAAATGCAGATAGTGGTGCGCCTGCCCAAGAGCCGGGCCAATCGTGGCCGAAGCGATGAAATGCCATTGCAGTGCTGTGGCGCGCTGCGTTGCCTCGGTCGGCAATAGAGGCGATCCGGCCTTTTCTGCGAGATAGAGCAGAATTGCCCCTGACTCGCTCATTCTTACCCCTGTATCGGTGTCATGGATGGCTGGAATTTTTCCGAGTGGACTGGCGGCGAGGAATGCTTGGGGGAGCGGTGCATCGCCACGCAAGGCAATGGAGGTCAGTTCGTAAGGCAGATCGAGCCATTCAAGCGCCACCGCGATCTTGATCCCGTTCGGCGTTGCGGCAGAAAATAGCTCGATCATGGCCGTCCTCCTTGTCCTGGTTGCAACCGGCCCTACCGGCTAAACGCCTTATCGACTTTCCGGCGAGATTCTTCACGCCAGCTTGGATTTTCCCAATAGAATTCGAGTCTGTTGCCGTCGGGATCGTGAAAATAAAGGCTCTTGTGTCGCCCCTCGGCGTGCCCTTCCCAGCCTTCGATGCTGGCGCCGTGGCTCTGGAGCCGCGCTTCGAGGAGATTGAGCGTTTCCAGGTCACCTTCGGGTTCGAATGCGACGTGATTGAAGCCGTGATGCTGGCGGTCCGGATCATCTGTTCCGCCAACTTCAAAAAGCCGAATGTCCGCCAGCCGGTCGCCGAACGAGAGGAACGCCATCCTGCGGTCTTCGAACCGCATCGTGACGCGCATGCCCAGAACATTGGTATAAAAGTCCACTGCCTTGTCGAGGTCGGTGACGTTGAACACCATATGGTCGATGTGCATTCTGGGTCCGGACATCGCTTCCTCCCTACGGGTGGTCGTTTTTCGTAGGGTCAGCATGAAGGGGGAAGCGGCGCTTTAACAGGCATTGAAATGCGACACCTATGTTACACTGCCCGTACCAATCTCGACCGGTTTGACAATCACCGTCGCGCCAGCCGCACAACTGTGTTGCGGTGCTCCGGGCTTATGGCTCGCAGCCCGTGGGCGTAAAGCTGGCTTTCTGACAGTCGAACAGGGAGGAAGGCGGATGGGCCGGCTCAAAAATCTCAATCCAGAACACATGACGGAGCGGCAAAAGGAACTCTATGACCGCATAGCAGCGAAGCGCGGTGCGGTGCGCGGTCCGTTCAATGCATGGCTCTATAGCCCGGAATTGTGTGATCGCGTCGAAGCGCTTGGCAAGTTCGTGCGCTATGACGCTTCATTTCCGATGATCGTGCGTGAGATCGTCGTTCTCGTGATCGCGCGGCACTTCAAGGCCCAATACATGTGGCAGGCCCATGCTCGGATCGCTGTCAAAGAAGGCGTTGCCCAAGCGGTGGTCGATGCCATCAGCACGAACCGCCTGCCGCCACTCCCCGATACGGTCGAAAAGGCCGGCTACCGATATGCCCGCGAGTTGCTGGAAACGCACCGGGTGAGCGACGAAACCTTCGAAGCAGCACGCAAGGCGTTTGGCGATACCGGCGTTGTCGAACTTACAGCGTTTATCGGCAATTTCACAATGGTTGCCATGGCTTTGAACGCTTTTCAGGTCGATCTGCCTGACCACGCAGGACCCTTGCTGACATAACGGCGCAACGGAGCTATTGGGCGGCGTCAGGTTGCCCATCTCCACCGTCGAGTCGCTTGATCCTGCTCGAAATGGCCGCAAGGGCGCCGCCCGCCGCAAACAGCGCAATGGTAAGGATGGCGAAGGTGAAGGCCATCGCCCATCCGCGTGAAGTCTCGCTGGCCATCGGGGTTCCGGCCTGAATCAAGTTTGTGTTGAGACCCTGCGTCGAGGCGGCCGTGAACTGCACTACTGTGACGACGGTCGTGCCCAGAACCGAACCGATAGATCGTGAGAAGGTAACTGCACCGGCGCCGGCGCCGCGCAGGTGCCTGGGGACGACCTGTTGGACGGTCACGTGAACCACCGACATCACCGTTCCCATTCCCAGGCCGTTGAGGAACAACATTGGCAGGAGAACGGCGAGCGGAAGGTACTGGCCGAAAAGAGCCAGCGTTACGACTAGAACGAAAGCGGCGAGAGAGCCGACAGCCGGAAAGATCGCTACCCGTCCGGTGCGTGAAATTAGGTTGCCGGTCAGTACGCCACCCAGGCCTAGCCCGACTGTCAGGCTCAACAGCGCCGCTGATGATTGAAATATGTCCGCGCCCCACACCAATTGCATATACAGCGGGAGGAAGGCCGTGAATGAAACCAGCGTCGCGCCATGGCACAACGCCAGTGCGTAGCTACGCACGATGTCGGAATTGGCCATGAGCGACGGCGGGAAAATGGGGTTTGCCGCCCGGGCCTCGACGCGCTTCAACATGGCGACCATGACCAGCCCGACAAGTATCAGGACGGCACCGAACCCGTAGCCTTCAGGCGTCGTGCGCTTGATATATTCGAGCGCCAGCACCCAGCAGCCAACAAAGGCATTGAGCAGAAAAAAGCCCTTTGCATCGAACTGCCTGTTGCTCGTGTTCGCTTCGGTCACCGGCAGGCGCCAGACCATCACGGCGGCAAATATGGCGAGTGGCAGGGCAAAAACGAACTGGCTCTGCCACCCGAATATGGCGGTCAGCCCGCCACCGATTACTGGCCCGAGGCTGCTCGCTACCACGCCCACCGAAGCGACGTAGCCCTGCGCCTTACCTCTGCGTCGTGTGTCGACCGTCTGCCCAATCAGCGCTTGGGAAATCGACATCAACCCGCCGCCGCCGATACCCTGGATCAACCTCGCCGCGGTAAGCCATTCGAAGGTAGGCGATAGTATCGCTACAAAAGATCCGATGGCGTAGATGCAGGCCGCGCTGACCAGAACGCGGCGGCGTCCGAACATGTCGCCAAGATTGCCATACACGGGCCCGGCAACGGTGAGCGCGAACATGTAAGCAATGACCAGCCAGGACAGTCGCGCAAGCTCGCCCATGGCCCCGCCAATTGCCGGCAACGCAGCCGCGGTCATGGTCTGGCTGGCGATCGCGAGAAAGACCGGCAGCGTGATCGTTATGATCACGCGCGCGTAGGAGGGGCTTGTCGTAGAACTCACGCCGCGGCCTGCAGCCGATCGACAATCAGATCGGCAATCGGCATGGCCGAGGTCGCAGCGGGGGAGGGAGCGTTGCAAACATGGAGCTGGCGGGCGCTTTCGAGAAACAGGAAATCGTGTATCAACGCTCCGTCCGCGGCCACCGCTTGTGCACGGATTCCGGCGCTCATCGGCTGAAGATCCTCGATTTCGAGGGACGGGCAGTATTTTTGGCAAGCCCGAAGGTAGCGCTGTTTGAACACAGAATCCATCATCTCGGTCACGCCCGATTTGAAGTTTGCCGCGATGGTGCGCCAGAAACCAGGGAACGCAGCGTAGGTGGCGACATCACGAACCGACACTGAAAACTTGGGGTATCCCTCTCGTGAAAACCCCAAAACCGCATTGGGACCAACGCTTAGCCTTCCGTCGATCATCGGGGTCAGGTGGATGCCGAGAAAGGGAAGATCCGGATCGGGCACCGGGTAGATCATTGCATGGCAGAGCCCGGCCAGTTCGGGGCGCAGCCTGTAATATTCGCCGCGGAACGGAACGATCTGGTGGCTGGGTTTAAGTCCGCCCAGGCGGGCCAGGCGGTCCGACTGCAGACCGGCACAGGCAATCAGCTTTTTCGCCCTGAACCCGCTATCTCCCAGCTGAACACGGACGGCGTCGGTATCCTCGGTCAGCGCGTGGACCGCGCTGTTGAGCAACAGCGTCCCACCCGCCGCGACGAAAGCGTCGGCCATCTTCCCGAGCACCTGGAGGTAGTCAACGATTGCAGCCGCGGGCACGAACAAAGCTTTTGTGCCTGATATGTTGGGTTCGCGCTCAACGATGTCGCCTTTTGTCAGCGCCTCGGCCTTAATGCCGTTGAGCTTGGCGCGTTCGGCCAGCGCATCGAGCCGCTGTTCCTCAACAGGCGAGGTGGCGACAATCAGCTTGCCCCGCTCTTCGAAGGCTATCGCGTGTTCGCGACAGAACTCCTTGGTCCTGCGCTCGCCCTCGGCACAGAGCTTGGCCTTCAAACTCCCAGGGGCATAGTAGATCCCTGAATGGATGACGCCGCTGTTGTGTCCCGTCTGGTGCCGGCCGAGCTCGGCTTCTTTCTCCACCAGAACCACGCCGGCGCCGGGAAATCGCGTGACTAGCGCCAAGGCTGTCGCAACACCGACGATACCGCCACCAACAACGCAGTAGTCATACTCAATGGTCATGAAAGGCTCCTTGTACGGTCGGCGTGAGATCGATCGGGGCAGAGGGAAACGGTGCAGCGCGTAACCGATTGGTGCACAGATTGACCAACAAATCAGAACGGGCCGTGCTTGAACCATTTGGTTAGGTAGTCGACGAACAGTTTGACTTTGACCGGCGTACCGGCGCCGGGTGCGAAGGCCGCGAACAGCGGGCGTGTCTCGATGGAATAGCCTGGAAGAACCCGGACCAGCTTGCCATTTTCCAGATCCTCGGAAGCAAGCGGCATCGGCAGCACAGCGACGCCAAGCCCCTTCACCGCCGCTTTATGCAGCACAACATAGGTGTTGGACGTGAAAGCGGCGGGCATACGGACCTTGATGCTTTCGCCCTCGCTGTTTTCCAGCCGCCAAACCGCATCGTTCACCTGCACCAGCCCCTTGTGGGTTGTGAGGTCATCGGGGGTTTCGATCGTCGCGTGCTCGGCTATGTAGTTTGGCGAAGCGCATAGAGCGAACTCGATATCGGTGATCTTTTTCACCCGGATCAACGAGTCCGGAATCTGGCGCGTGTGCAAGGCAACGTCATAGCCGCGATCCACGAAGTCGTAGGCGTTCGGTGCCATGCCGCCGAGCGATAGCTTGAGCACGATGTCGGGATACTCGATGGAAAACGAAGTCGCCGCGTCCGCGACCTCGTAGTTGGCCAGCCATTTTGGTGCGATGACAGCCAGGGTGCCTTCCGGGGCTCGGTTTTTCCCCGATATCTGGTCCTCGTTTTCCTTGATTTCCTGGAGCACACGATCGCAGAAATCGAAATATTGCTGACCGCCCTCGGTGAGCGTTATCGAGCGGGTCGTGCGATTGAGCAGGCGGATCTTGAGCCGGTGCTCGAGATCGAGGATGTGCCGGGACACCAGCGCACGCGAGGTGCCCAGCGTCCGGGCAGCCTCGGTGTAGCTGCCACGCTTCACGACCTCGACGAAGGATCGCATCGTGAGAAAGTGGTCCATTCCAGTATCGCCCCTTAATTTTCCTCGGCCGTGCCCATCAAGTCGGCCTTGGAAAGATGTTCGACCTCGATACCGTCGCTTTCAAAGGTTCGAGTCACCCGCATTGAATCATAAATCCACAGGATGCGCATAGGCGTATCGCCCTTGTTGCGGAAGCAGTGCCACAAGCCGGCAGGGATATAGGTGGAGTCGTAAGGTTTGAGCGGTGTGACGACGCCGTCGACTTCCACTTCGCCGATGCCCTCGAGCAGTGTCACCTGCTCGTCGCAATTGTGCTTGTGCATCGGTGCACCTTGCCCGACCGGATAGACGCTCATGCCAGTCGTGAAATGAGCATGCGGTACGATCTGGTGCACCACCAGCGGCCATGTCCTGATGCCGCTGCCGCGCTCGATAACCTTGATATCATCGACCTTGAGAATGCTTGCGACCATAGGGGCCTCCTGAAAAGCAAATCGTTCCGAGCCGCATCATTAGCGCAGAAATTGGTGCAGCGTTTGCAACACTGAAAGTAGCGTTTCAGCGCTGCACCGGGAGGGGGCAACCTCTAGTGTTGGTCAATACAAGCACGGGAGAGAACTATGGCAGAGCTATCAAAGGTCGCCGCGAGCGAGTTGCGCACCTTTATCGAAAAGACCTTTACCACCGTAGGCATGAGTGCCGACGACGCGACAGCCATGGCCGACGTGTTTTTGTGGGCCAATTTGCGCGGCGTTGACTCTCACGGCGTTGCCCGCGTGCCGCGCTATGTCGAACTGTTTGATTCCGGCGAAGCCAATCTCAAAGGAACGATCAAGATCGATCGCTCACGACCAGGTTTGGCTTTGCTTTCAGCCGATCATGCACCAGGTCCCGTAGCCCTGAGTAAGGGCATGCGGTGTGCTATCGATATCGCGCGCGAACAAGGGGTTGGCTGGGTGCAGGTCAAAGAGACCGTTCACGCCGGAGCGCTGGGCTATTACACCGAACTTGCCGCCAATCAGGGCATGATAGGGTTGGGGTTTCTGGCTGGAATGCCCAACATGGCCTATCCCGGCGCGCGCGGCGCGGCCGTAGCGACAAGTCCCTTTGCTGTTACCGTTCCGGCCGGGAATCGCGCGCCATTTTCCCTCGATATGGCTACGGCGATGATTGCGTTGGGCAAGATCAACCAGTATAAGATGAAGGGCCTGCAACTGCCTGCCGACTCGGCTGTAACCGCCGACGGCACGCCGACTACCGATCCGGCGGAAGCAAAGATGCCGCTGCCGCTCGGTGGTATCAAGGGCGCGGGGATGTCCCTGGGGTTCGAGCTTCTCACAAGCGTTCTCGCCGGCGTTCCCATTGTTGCGCCCTTCCATAAGGAGGGAAACAAGCGCCACCGTCAGAACGCCGTTCTGATCGCCGTGGATACTGCGGCGTTTGGTGATAGTGAGGGATA